CACTGTCCCTGTACCCCCTGGGTCCCTGGACCCACACCCTGCACCCCTGTGACACCCCACTGTCCCTGTAGCCCCTGGGTCCCTGAGTCCTGAGACCCTCACCCTGCATCCCTGTGACACCCCACTGTCCCTGTACCCCCTGGGTCCCTGGACCCACACCCTGCACCCCTGTGACACCCCACTGTCCCTGTAGCCCCTGGGTCCCTGAGTCCTGAGACCCTCACCCTGCATCCCTGTGACACCCCACTGTCCCTGTACCCCCTGGGTCCCTGGACCCACACCCCGCACCCCTGGGACCTGTCCCAGTGCTCCCTGTACCCCCACTGTGCACACCTGGGTCCCTGGTGTCCCTGTATCCCCACCCTGCACCCCTGCAACTCCCCACTGTCCCTGTACCCCCTGGGTCTCTGGTGTCCCTGGACCTCCACCCTGCAACCCTGTGACCCCTCACTGTCCCTGTATCCCCTGGGTCCCTGAGTCGCTGCTCCTCCATCCTGCATCCCTGAGACACCCCACTGTCCCTGTAGCCCCTGGGTCCCTGGACCCCCACCCTGCACCCCTGTGACCCCCCACAGTCCCTGTACCCCCTACGTCCCTGGTGTCCCTGGACCCCCACCCTACACCCCTTACCCCCTGGGTCCCTGGTGTCCCCACCCTGCACCCCTGCGACCTCCCACTGTCCCTGTACCCCCTGGGTCCCTGGACCCACACCCTGCACCCCCGGGACTTCTCCCAGTGTCCCTGAACCCCCTGTACCCCCACCCTACACCCCTGGGACCTCTCCCAGTGGCCCCTGTATCCCCACTGTGCACTCCTGCATCCCTGTACCCCCACCCTGCACCCCCAGGAGACCCCACTGTACCCCCTCTACCCCCACCCTGCATCCCTGGCACCCCTCCCGGTATCCCCCACACCTTTAACCAGGACTGCAGCCCAGGGAGCCCCTGGTGTGCTCCCACCTTTGGGGTCCCCCCTGGCCCCCACCTGCCAGTGATGGGACTCGGGGTGCTGATGGGTTACATGGACCCCACTTCACGTGCTGTGACAAAGAAATGTGGTCCAAGAGCTTCTCCCCTTTCCCTGTCTAGGCCACAGCACTCACAGGGAGCAGCCCCCTGAGCTCCCCTTCCCTGCGGCCCATGATACACAAAAATGGCTTCGAAGCCCAAAATTACCTCATGTCTCAAAGGGCACCTGGGCTGCAACCCCAGGTCCTGCACCCCAGCTCTCCCAGCTGCCTGCCACAGTTCAGTTTCCCTGAGAAGTACTGTTCCTGGAGATTTCATGCAGCTTCAGCCCAGGGTGAGGCTGCGAATCCTTCAGGATTCTGCTGCTCCAACTGAGGCAAGCAATGAAGGCCAAATTAAAACCTGTGACAGAGGTACCCCTGTGCTATGGCAACTCTGCGACTGGAGCAGCCAAAAAAACGTTCCTGAGCTTGTTCTTCCACTGAGCTCCACGAGCATCTTCCCAGGGCAGCCCTGAATGCCACCAGGATGTTGGTGACAGGCCAGTCTCACCTCCTTTTGCGCCCCTGCGCTCAGAGTCATGAAATTTCCTTGGATATTAAACACCCATCATTTCCTGGTTTGGGAGAACTGTACAAACTGCACCTGTGTGTTCCACGAGCACAGGTTGCACAGCAAATCCCCCAGTCCACGGTCCCCTTGGCTCGGGAGGGCAGCTCATCCCCGGGCCACGGGACACTGCCGAGCTCTCAGGGCTGGCGCGGCTCCTCTCCTGGCAAACCTGTTTCCCAGGCACTGCCCGTCCTGCTGAGCGTCTGCCAGCGGCGCTTGTGGTGAGAAACCATTAGACAAGATACAAACAGAGGGAAAAAAATGAAGGAAGAAGTGGGGAAGAAGCAGGTGGGGACCAACTGCAGCGGTGCCAGCTGGCGAGCGCCGTGGTGGGGCAGGACGGGGTGAACCGCACGGGTTCTCCTTCTCCCAGCTTGGGGCACCTTCTCCTGCAAGAAGGGAGGGCTCCCGGCCCTTCCTGGGAAGGGGAGCCCCTCCTCTGTGTTTTCACCTGTTCCTTCGGGCGAGACGAGCGCAGCCAAAGCCGCGGCGGGGAAACCCGGGGAAATCCTTTCCGCTGACTCAGGCGGGAGGAAAAGGTTTTCCTGCTATTAAAAAGGAAAGTGTTGGTGAGCATCCACCCCCCTGGCTGCAGCTCAGGATCAGGGAGCCGGGAGCCAGGAGCTGCACAACTGAACCCCACCAGCCTCCAGGGCATGGTGGGCAAGGGGCAAATCCATTCTCGCCCGGCACCGATGCCAGCAGCCAAGTGGGTATGCCTGAGGTCAGGGAGCAGCCCTGGTCGGCTTGAAACCTTTCCAACCCCACAAAGTGTGCCCAACCAGACGTGAAGCCCAAATATTTATTGTTTTGAAATTAAACACATCCACAGGTTGCTTGTGGTGGCTCCTTCCCTGCTGAAATTCGAGAGCGCAGCCCTCTGCTCCCCTTCCCCGTTCCCACCAGCACTGCAGAGCCTTTCTCTTCCCAAAGCACAATCCTGGATGGTTTTGGTGGGTCCTCAGTTTGCAGGAGGCCACTGCATGGGGTCCTCAGCAGCATTAGCCACACGGGTACAATTATCTTCCTCTCAAACTCTTCATTTCTGTTTCCAAAATAAACAGTTTCAGTCACCTCCAGCCACCCAGATCAGCTTCTTTTCAGCCTGTGGCAAAGCAAGTCCAAAGGGCCTCCTGGCACCAAGGGAGCTCAGCTGTCGGGTGCCCCTGTTCTCGCCAAATCACTTCACCGGTGATTCCCTCGGGGCTGCAGCTGAAAAAGAGCATTAAATCCCATCCAGCTCAGACTCTCTACGGCACGCTGGGGGCTGGCTGGCAGGGAAAGGCCGAGAGCTGGAGCCTCTTGCTCAGCCAGAGCGTGGAGGTTTGGATTATGGACTGCTTTTTCCCATTGTTTCTGGTGGCCATTCCCGAGCCCTGCAGCTGCTCCACAAACACAGACACACCCAGGTAACAGGGCAGGAGCAAGGAAGGTTGCAAAAGCGGTGTTTCCCAGGACGGGGAAGTCCCTGGAGCAACATCCCTGTTGCTGCTTCTACCCCCAGAGAGCGACTGCAGCGCCCAGCTCAGCTCAGTGCCAGCAGCTGAGGGGGAAGGATCGAGTTGCAAGGCAGGGCTGGGTGATCCCGGCTCTCCCGGGATCTGAAGGTCACCTCGGACCCGGCCATTGCTGCTGAGGGAGAAAAGGGGTCTGTTCCCACCTGCTCGTGTCACAAGGTTCACTCGAGATGCCTCTGCCCACCTCTGGGAAGGTGAGGGGCAGTGGGTGGGGAGGGCGTGAGCGCTGCTGAGCAGGAGGGTGCAAGGGGGCAAAAGCAAGATGGTTTCAAGTGCACAAAGCAGAGGACACCGGGCGAGAAAAATACCTGTTGGAAAAGGGACTCGCTTTCGCTAACCCTGAAAAAAAATAGTGGCCAGAAATTGTTATTCCTGAGTGCAGGGAAGCAGAAACATCCCAATAATCCAGTCTGAGCCGCAAAGCTGAGGGCGGGCAGGCAGTCAGTCAGTGGCAAAGAAGAAGGTGCCCATTCTTCCTCGTGGGCACCACCCATAAGCAAAGAGGCAGCACCAAACCGCCCTCGGACCCGACCCCGCGGCACCGGATGACCTGATGCTGCCAGAGGGGAGGGCAGGATGGGCTCTGGAGGCTCTGCCTTGGTGCTGCACCAGGGCCCCGGTGCCAGCACTGTGCCCGGTGCTGTCCCCCCCTGCCACGACAAAGCTGCTTTGTGCGGGGCCAGCCGGGCACGTCCCCAGCCTCTTCCCCATGCCGTGGCCCCGCTCTCCCCCCATGTTGCCTTTCCTCTCACAGGCCAGGGTGGAAGGCAGGGCCACACCAGGACAAGGCACAACCCCAGCAACCCCCCCCCACCTCCTCCTCATCCTCCCACCACCACGTCCTTCATCCCCAGCTCCCTCAGCTTCCCCACGGCCTCCCTGTGGGTCCTGTCCCCCCCCAGACCTCTCACCCTGCCAGGACTGACCCTTCCCTGGTGTGTGCACAGGGCAGCCCAGGCTCTCCGGTGAGGTTGAGCCCCACTGTCCCACCTCCCCCAAGAAGTACATCAGCCCGGTAGATCTCCCAGCCCTTTTATTCACTCAGCAGCCAGCACCCCTCATATCCAGTTGGCACGAGAACCACGGCTCAGGCAGCTGTGAAACTGCAGCACTCCACAGGGTGAGCGATGTGGTTGGGGCTGTTTGATTCTCCGTGCCATTTCCAGCCCTAAAATAGCCCCTGGAGGCACTAACCTCCTTGCAGAGGGGCTTCTGAATCGCAGCCTTCGGTGAAAAGATCCTCTCCATTACCATGTCCAAGAGGTTAAGAAATCCCCTCCTGATCATACCCCCACTTCCCCCCCTCCCCAAAAAACACCCAAGCAGTTAGAGCAGAAATTCAATGAGCAGCCAACACAAGCTGGGCAGAAGAGTCCATGTGCAGAAGGCAAAGCCTTGCTCCTGGTAGCTGCGGGGCAGGTCCCGAGACTCCTTTGACCAGGTGACACTTTGCTGTCCCTTGGCTCCTGCCTTGCACCCACAAGAGCCCCCAGGGTGGCCACAGCGAACCAGGCAGCGACCAAATTCCAAAGAAAAGGGCCCCAGCTGAGGGTCACGGCCTCCAGGCCCTGGGGTGAGCAGCAAAGCCGCTTTCCAGGGGATAGTTCCCAGCCCCAGGACCACTGAGGATCGCCCCGCCTGGGGATCCCCGCTCCCTCCGGGGTACACCACAGCCCGTGCCTCAGCTTCCCCACAGGGAGTGGCACCAAAAGCACAGGGGGCCAAGGGGCTAATGACACGGTCCCTCCCGTCCACCTCCCCCCCTTCACTGTCAGCTGCCCCCCACTGTGCCCCAGTGGCACCCCAGACCCCCCACCCCGCGCTCGCCTTCACGGGCTCTCGGCCGGGCTGGGGGCCGAGCCGGCGCCCGGGCCGGGCTTGGCGAGCTGCCGCAGGTCCCGCGCAGACCTCACGGCCCACTGGGCCAGCTCCCGCAGCACCCCCAGGCCCCGCAGCTTCTGCTCGAAGACGCCCTGGGGCTGGGGGGGCGGCCCGTCCCCCTCATCGTCGCTCGGGGGCCCGCGGCTCTCCAGCCGCAGCAGCTCCTCGAGGTGGTAGGCGAAGGCCGAGACCTGGAGCAGCACGGCCGCCAGCGCCCGGCCCAGGGCGGCGTCGGCCTCACCCAGCTGCTCCCGCTGCTCCTCCAGCATCTGCGCCAGCAGCCCGCGGAAGGCCCTGTAGGCCGCCAGGTTCTCCAGCAGCCGCTGGGTCCCCGTCTGCTCGTCCCAGCGCTCCACCGCCGCCGGCGGCACCCCCTCCACCGCCGCCACGCTGGCCGAGGCGTCCAGGCCCTGCTGCTCCACCTGCGGGGTGAGACCCACCGGGGATCAGCGGTGGAGGGAGCAATTTGGGGGGTACCCCCCGCCCCGAGCCACGCCGGCGCTGCTCCGGAGGGCCCAGTCCAGGAGGGGTTTGTGGCAGTGCGAGGCCGGGTGCCCGAGGTTCGCCCAGGCAGCGGCAGGCACAGAAACCGGCAGCGCTTCGTCCCCCATCCCCACCACGGGACAGGTTCCTCACGCCCCGAAGCTTCCAGGAGGCCCCCAGACCCCACCAGCGCTCCCAGCCCCGCAGCAGCCAGAGGGAGCAGGGCAGACTCACGTAGGCGTCCAGGAGGTCGACGACATCCGAGCGCATCTTCCCGGCCAGGCGGATGCCGCGGGCGCACAGGTCACGGCGCCGGAGGGCGGCCGAGGGACTGTCTGCTCCCGCCATGGTCTGGGCAGCTGTTGAGGCCACCAGGCTCAGGGCGCAGCGCCCGCCCGGCCCGGGCAGGACAATCCCTTGCTGAGCTGGTGCATTCCAGCCGGGAAGCTCCGCTCACACGTCCGCTGGCCCGGCTCTCCCCCTCTTCCGTGCCTGGGGCCTGGCACCACGCTGCAAATTCCCGCCTCTGGGATCAACAGCGACAGATTATTCCCCCGATTCCCCCACGCATCGCCACTCCAAGTGCTTTGCCCAGAACCGTCTCGCCCGGCAGCGACAGGCTCCCAGCCCCGGCTGACCCACTCCTCCCTCCCGGCCACACAGTGGGATTAGCGGCACGTTAATCCCTCTGGCTCATGCCAGAGAGCGGGAAACCACTGCCGGGAAGAGGCGAGCAAAGCCCGGACATTGCTCAACACCTCAGCCCGGGCAGGCGGCGGGGGCTGAGCAGGGCCAGGAGTGGAGGCTCGAGGGGATCCCCCCGCAAGGCTGGAGATCCAGCACCAGCCAAAAGCTGAGCTGCAACCCAAACCCTGGCAGAAGGGTCTGTCCCAGCCACCTCCAGCCCTCTCACTGCCCCACAGCCATGGGACTGGTCCCCCAGGTTTAACCCCCCTTTCCCAGAGGGGGAAAGGTTTAACCCCCCCCTTTCCCAGAGACACCTTCCCCAAAGAGGGGCTGTGGGACAGGACGTGGTCTCTCCTCAAGCCCCCAAAATGCAGGACTCGGTCACTGTTTCTCAGCCCTAAATGTAAGGTCAGCAGGGCTCAGTCTCCATTTCTCACCTTCAGTACTGGCCACTCCACAGGTCTCTGCCTTAAAGCCCCCAAAGTGCAGGACTTGTTCTCTCTCTCTGTGAGCCCAAGCACTGGCTGAGTGACCCTGGTTTCAGGGCCCCAAAACACAGGACTTAGTCACTGGTTTTTAAGGCCCTAAAATGCATCACTTGGTCTCTCTTTGTGAGCCCAAAGACACGGGACATGCTCTCTGCCTCAAGTCCTGAAAGCAGGATTTAGTGGCTGTTTCTAAGCCCCCAAATTGGCCATGTATGAGCCTGGTTTCAGGAGTGCAAAATGAAGCATTTAGTCTCCGTTTTTAAGCTCTGAGTCCCATTTTGAGCCCCCAAACCTGGCCCTGAGTCCCTCTTTGGGAGCCCAAAAAATGAGTCTGGTTCTGAGCCCCTAAAACTGGCCCAGGGTCATGATTCAAACCCAGTTGGCAGCTGGCCACCAGCAGCCACTCACTAACCCCCCCCGAGTTGGATGGGGAAGAGCCACCCCAGGACAACACCAGCCAGCCCACAGATGAGCTGCATGCAGCGAGACAAAAACAGCCCACTGGGTTGGGTTGGTTTTTCCTCAGTATGTTTATTTTGGTTACGTATTACCCAGATTAAGAGGGGAAAAAAAAAAAACCCCAAGAGTTGAAAAGCAGCTTCCCACAAGTACCACAGTGTGCCTGGTCGGGGGGCCCCATACCCCCAGCAGCCTCTTTGTCACCCCCTGGCTACTGCAGAAAGTGCTGCTGAGCTTTGGGAGCCCCTGGCCCCGGCAGCCCTTGACCCCCAAAGTGCTGCCCATGTCGGGCACAGCCCCGAGAGCGGTCGAAGGGCCCTGTGTCCCCTCCAACCCCTCCCCTGGGAGCAGAAAAAAAAAATAAATACAGGGGAAAAAAAAAATACAAAAAAGTTTATTGCAAACTACTACAATAATTTATTGAAGCAAACTGCATGCGAGTGAAGGAGAGACATCGAGGGGAGGAGGAGCTGCAGGAGGGCTGTGTCAGTTTTAGGGCTTCAGAGGGGCGTGGGAAGGGAGCTACACATCTCTCCTGCGTCAGGGGCGAGCAGGCTGTGGTTAGAGGACAGACAGACACCTGGCCAGGGCCAGAAAAAGAAAAGGGAGAGCTACGAGAGGTGTCATGGAAGGACGAGGCGGGGAGCGGCAGGATCAGGTGTCCCGGCCGGGCAGCAAAGGAGATCTTTGATTTTGCATCCCAGAAACGTGTCCGGTGGCAAAGTCTGCTCCGCTCGGGGCGGCTGCAGGACCAGGCCACCTCCCTCAGCTCCCAGCCAGGTGCCAAGCACTGAGTCAGAGGCGAGCAAGCCTTTGACCCAAAGGCGTTTTAGTGCCATCCCTTGACCAGTAATCCCCGGGCTCTCCAACTTAGTGTTCTGTGCAAGGCTCTGCCCGCCCCGCAGCTCCCACGGGCACAGGGGCTGGCAGAGAAGCAGCTCCAGCTGGAAATCACAGTAACGTGATCCAAGCGAGAAACTGGATCGTCCCAACTGAAGGAACTGGTTTAGTTTAAACACCACTGCACCTGCCTGCACTGTCCCAGAGGACCCACCACCACCAGGTGTGCTGGGCCCTCACCCCGTGGCAGGCCTGGGAGCCAGGCTGCTGCCACGGCGAGCACGTGGGATGCCCACGCCCAGGGCACAGGACACCCAGCTGCTCCACCACGATCCGCCCCAACACCACAAGTGTTTTGACTTGCTCTGACAAAGGTATCCGTGTAAGGAGGGAAGGGAGGGGGCAAACCGGGACAAACGGCCCAATAAAAGCCACCGTGTTTGGGCCCACAGCTGGATTTCCAGGCAGCACAGGGGACAGAGTGGGTGTTCAGAGTCAGTTTCCTGTTAAGTTCCCAATTAAATTCCATGTTTTATTGCAGTTTTCTAGACCCCAGGTACCCGGTTTTGCCAAGCTGCTGTGTGCTACAGACTAACTCAGCTGATCTTGTGCTCGGACAAGACACTTCAGCTCTGCTCCCAACCACAGAAACCCAACCAAAAAAAAAAAACAAAAACAAGCAAACAAACAAAAAGCCAGGTTATTCTTCACCTCTTCCAAAACCACTACGAATTCAAGGCCACTGAATCTCCACACAAAGTCTCAGAGAAGAGCAAAAAAAAAATCCAAGTCTCCATAGCAGACACCTCTTATCCTATGTAAACTTTTCCAAGGGCTCAGAGCTGCCCTAACTACACTGGCAGGCAACACCTGGCCTGCCACATTTCAGGGACAGCAGGGGTGTCTGTGCAGAAGAGAGAACCTTTGAGAACACGGCTACACAACACCCTCCCCCACAACGGGGGCAGAGAGAGAAGCTGACAGCCCCTTAGTCCCACGTCAATCTATTGCCTTGGATAAACAAGCCTGAGAAAACCATATCCAGTCCCTGCTCCTGTGCCTTTGTCTAGACCTGGAAAGGAGAGGCAGAGTCGGATGAGGAGCACCACATCACTCCAGCAGCAAGCAGCTCACGACTGTCCCAGGCCACGAGAACAAGTTCCTGGCCAACAACATCCTTCCCCGAAAGGCTGCAGTGCATTTAATGCAAGGAGCTCACCCCGAGCCGGGAGGGAGGGAGACGACAGCCAGCTGTTCCATCACTCACCTCATCCTCCTGCTAACACGCTGCTGCAGAGACTCCCACTGCACACGGGGCTCTTCTCCAGGGGCTCTCCCTCCTCTACTCTGGAAAAGCTGCGAGACACATCTGACTCCAGAGCGCTGCCTTCACCTCGGCTCTCCCAGCCGCTGTTACAGTGGCACACACCGTGCTCCCTGCACCAGAGCCTACTGGGAAACAGCCTGAACCCCTTCCACGCCCGCCCCCTAAGAACAGAACTAAAAAATACCGACCCTTTTTTAATCAATAAATAAGGAATCTTGTTACCACAACACAAAAACGAAGCATGTTCAAAGTGCAAATTACTGTCGTCAAACTGGGATGCTCCTCCTTGCCTCTCCCACGCAGGGCTCCTGTAGCCCCCGGGCCTCTCCGAGCAAACATGATCTACGAGCCAGGGCGTTCCCTCCACTTCCTGCCAGGGCTGGAGCAGGGGAGCGCGGTGGGAGCGGGGACGTGCTCTGCTTCACAGCTCACCCTGCCGGGGGGCTAAAGTGCCAAACTCCCAGCCCCGGGAGGAAGGAGGACACTGCAAGGACCAGAGTGCAGCGGTGCATAGAAGTCGGGACCAGGGGCAGAGGGAGTCCTAAGAAACTTCTCCAGAGCACGTCCAACGCTTTTTTTTTTTTGTTTTTTTGTTTTTTTTTAGTTTGCCAGTTGGGGCCACGTCAAGGAGCCAGAAAGGCATCTGCTTTGGGGTAGAGCGAAGGGTTTCGGCAGTGCCCCCTCCCTTGGAGAAATCCGTCGCTCAGTCCAACTCGCTCTGGTAATGGCAGCACGTGCCCCTTTCCACAAAGGGGCCGTGGGAGAGAGAGAGAAGTGGTTGGGAGAAAGAGGATGTGCTGTGATCCGCGCTGGAGGGGAGCAGACCCTTCAGTTATTTTACTAGTATTGTAAGTTTTGTTTAACTTTCCTCTCTTTCAGTAAGTGCCTCCTCTTTTCTTTCTTTTTTTTTCTTTTTTTTTTTTCTCCTTTTAAATACAGAGTCCCAACTGTCCCAGCACCCAGGTGCAACCCCTGCCACTAGGGTCCACCAGTGGAGTCTGAATCTTCGATGAGCACCTCCGTGCTGGCTCCCAGGATCTCCGTGTTCATGACCAGCCCCTCCGGGTTCGCGCTGCTGCCGCCGCTGCCCACGAAGAGTTTGCCGTCGGCCACCAGGCTCACGCGCTCTGCCCCGCCGCAGTAGGGCTTTGGCATCCCCTCGGGGCTCAGCAGCAGGCAATCTGCTGGGGGGGCACTGCCCAGGGGGTCCGGGAGCAGCGGGAGGCCCTGGCCGTCGGTGGGCGGCGCGATGGCCTCGGGATTGGTGCCCAGGATGTCGGTGCTGGTGATCAGGGCACCCGCGTTGGCAGCCAGCGCTTCGGCTATGAGCACTTCGGGGTGGCTCTTGGCTTTGTGGGCCACGACGCTGTCCTTCTTCTCGAACTTCTTGCCGCAAATGTTGCAGGAGAACTGGTAGAAGGAGTCCGCGTCGTGCTTCTTCATGTGCCAGTTGAGGGACGCCTTCTGCCGGCAGGTGAACCCACAGATCTCACACCTGGGAGCGGAGAAGGGGGAGGTCACAACAAAGGGGTGTCCCCACACACTCGTGGGGACAGCAGCAGCAAGGAGGCAGCCCAGGGAAACAAGCAGGGGCTCACTAATGTCACTGCAGCTCCAGCTATGGCTTTATTTGCTGAGGGCAATAAAGATCCCAGATCTGCCCCGAGGAGCAGGTGAGACAAGGGGCAGCTCAACACCGTGTGTGTTTAGAGAGCTGGGACACCAGCAAAAGGCTCCAGCCCCGACCTCAGAGCTGCCCCTGCTCTGGGTGCAGCCCCAGAATGGGTGTGTCAGGGGCCCCTCGGGGCAGGAGGGCGAGGCACAGGCAGAGGGTACTCACTGCAAGGGCTTCTCTCCCGTGTGGATCATCCTGTGCACCGCCAGGTTGTGGGAGCTCTTGAACGCCCGGGCGCAGTACTCGCAGATGTAATCCCTTTGATCTGAAAGGAAACAGCAGTTGCAGCACTGCTCTCTCACAGAGCTGTTCCCTTTCCCAGCTCCCACGTGGTGCAGGTAAAGCTGCCCGAGAAGGAGCAGAACCAGGAGTTCTGGGAGGCCAGCAGGCACAGCCAAGGAGGAGCCCCACAACACAGTGCAGCAGCTGATCTGGAGAGGCCAGCCATGATTAAAACTCTTCTGAGAGCTACTTATCCACTCTGACCAACACTGGCAAATTAGGATAAAGCAGACTTTATCTGTAGAGTCTTTATATGCAGATGTTTATTCCTCTACAGAACCCCTGAGTGATACTTGCCAGGGGGAGAATTAAAAAC